TCTCACCCCTGTCGCCCAGACTGGAGTGCAGTGGCCGCTCCGGGCCACCGCAGCCTCGACCTGCTGGGCTCCGGCGATCCTTCCGCCTCAGCCTTCCAAGGAGCCGGAACTACAGGCTCGCGCTACCACGCCCGGCTCATTTTTTGATTTATTATAGAGACGAGGTCTCGCCAAGTTGCCCGGGTGGGTCTCGAACCCACCGGCTCAGGCGATCCACTCACCTCAGCCTCCCAAAGTGCTGGGATTGCAGGCTGAGCCATTGAGCCCGGCCTAGAAGGCTCTTTAATTCTTCTGACAAGTCTTCCTTCCTAAGCTGGCTGCCTGGTTGTGCTAAGCTAGTAAGCTCTGTGAGGACCTGACAACGCTTTCCTCGATGCCACGGGCACTGGCTGGGAGGATGTCTGGGTTCATTCAGTCACTCGACAAATATTTGCTGGATCTATGGGGAGGGAGTAAGGGGAGGTGAATGGTTTGAGGAGGGGGGGAGAGGAGAATCGTGGCTCCAGGCACGGGGCAGGTGGAACTGAACAGCTGCAGGTGGGGGGGGGGGAAGCTCCTAACTCGCACGCCCCGTGTCTCTCCTCTGCCCCATGGCCAGGTGGTCTACGTCACAGCCACATTCCCTTACCTCATGCTGGTGGTCCTGTTAATTCGAGGGGTGACGCTGCCCGGGGCAACCCAAGGAATTAAGTTTTACCTGTACCCAGACCTCACGCGCCTCTGGGATCCCCAGGTAAGACGCCACGGTGGGGGCCCTCGCTGGCTCTGGAGTGCTTGGCTTTCCGGGGCTCTGGGGGAAATCCCTGCTCCTGCCCACCCCCCAGGGCATCCCCGGTGGTGGTGGGGGGGCACCCTTCCTTCACCAGACAGCTCTTGGCAGCTGTCTGTGGTCACAGGGTGTCCGATGCTGCCTTTTCTGGGCTCACGACGGCCGAGAAACCCAGGGGCCTGAAACCCTGGTGATGCTTCTCAGGGGTTGCAAAGATGTCCCTAACAGTCCTTCCTCAAGGACCGAGCTGTTCTCAGCCCCTCTGCATGTATCTCGTAGGACCCCGTCTCCGACCCAGCTTCCTCTCTCGTTCTTACCCCTCACCCTGCCACCCTGTTCCCGCCTATGCCCACATGACCCACCCTAGGCCCCAGCGCCCAGTCCTGCCCTCACCAGACGGGCTGGTGTTAAGTTTCCTGTCAGTTGCCCCGGGAGCCGTCCGTCCGGGGCACTCGGCCCGCTTCCCGCCCCTCCTAGCCCTTCGGGCAGGTCTATACTCCAGCTTCCTTGTGGCCATGGCCGGGGCCGGGAGGGGTGGTGCTGCTGGCCGGCTGGAGTGTTGGATTGGAGCCCAGGAACCAGACGCCCCTGCCTCTGACCGGTGTCTCACGTCTCCTCTCTGGCAGCCAGGTGAAAGCTGGCAAAGCCAGGAGGTGTGGAGGGCTGAGGGCAGTGTGTGTAAGTGCCACCGCAGAGCCTGAAATGTGGCTGTCCAGTTACAGGCCCTGCCTCTGCCTCCTTGGTACCAAGGCCGCCCTCCCTGGGGAGTGTGTACAACTTGGAGATCTTCCTCTGGGTCGTTGTCGGAGTGTCTCTGTGTCTGTGAAAGGGACTCCAAGGAGACTTAAAGGGTGGGCAGCTCCCAACACATAGAACACTAAGCGCTGGATGGCAGGCACTTTCTTTTTGTTTTTGTGAGTCGAGTCTCACTCTGTCGCCCAGGCTGGAGTGCATCGGCACGCTCCCGGCCACCGCAGCCTCGACCTGCTGGGCTCGAGGGATCCTTCCACCTCAGCCTCCCAAGTAGCTGGGACTGTAGGCACGTGCCACCACACTCAGCTAATTTTTAAAAAATTTTTACTGTAGAAACAAGGGCTCGCCAGATTGCTCAGGCTGGTCTCGAACTCCTGAGCTCTGGCAATCCTCTTGCCTCGGCCTCCCGAAGTGCTGGGATTACAAGCGTGAGCCACCGCGCCCAACCTCCAGACGCTTTAGAGTCAGAGGGCACCAGCACGTCCACTGAAATTGCTGAGAGTCTGCGAGGACACAGGGATGGACACGCAGTCCTGGAATTTCATCCGAGGCCCAGAACGCAGTTCACACAGAGGCAGTGGCTCCCCCGTGCAGATTTCAGGCGACCCAGAAGCTGAATGGATCTCGGGCCTTCCAGGCACCCCTGCCAGAGTTGAGTCTTCTGTTCTAAGTTCCAGAGGCAGCCAGGCCCCTACTACTCAACCCTCCCCGCAGACAAGTAGTCCTGGGCATTTGTCCGGTATCTTCTGCTGGGATATGAGCTTATCTGTCTCCACCCCCATTTTTTTAGACGTAGAGATACAGATTGCCGTCACCTCATTTCCATGCAGGGCACGAGGGTGGCCAACAGGCTTTGGAGCCAAACTGTAGAACCCTAGCTGCTAAAGCTAGAAGAATCCCAGGGATCATCACAGGCAACCGCTTCAGTGCACAGATGAGTACACAGTGGCCTAAGGTCACACAGCAAGTAAGCGGCAGCCCAGGCGAGAGGTGGCTTTGTTTTGCAACTCACCAGCCTTTTGACTTATCTGGAACCAGAGGCCTGTGAGGACAGCAGGGAGCAAGCAGAACGTGTGTGGACAGGAGAGCTGAGGGGAGGCTTGCAGGACCAGTGAAGAGTCTGGCTCGGCTCCCCCGTGCAAGAGACAGTCACTGTGGCTGTGAGCAGTGGAGCCAGAAACTCGGGGCCAGGCTGCGAAGCACCCCTCTTTTGCAGGCGGGCCTCAGAGGACGGAGACATATTCAGGCAGGGAAGCAGGCAGGGAGGTTGGGGAGAAAAAGGACAGAGGGGCTCGATATCTCTAGAACTGATTTGTGGCTTTGTCCTGATCAGCTTTTTTTTTGAGTTGGGATCTCACTCTGATGCCCCGTGTAGTGGCACAGTCACAGCTCAACACAGCCTCAAATTGCTGGGCTTAGGCAATCGTCCCACCTCAGCCTCCTGAGTAGCCGGGACTACAGATACGCACCACCACGCCTGGCTAATTTTTTTTTTCTTTTTTTTGAGTCAGGGTCTCACTCTGTCACTCGGGCTTGAGTGCGGAGGCATGATCACAGCTCACCACAGCCACAAATTCCCAGGCTCGGGCAATCCTCCCACCTCAGCCTCCTGGGTACCTGAGACTCCAGGCGTGCACCACCATGCCCAACTAATTTTTTTTTTTTTTTTTTAGAGATGAGGTCTCACTGTGTTGCCCAAGCTGATCTGGAACTCCTGGGCTCAGGCAGTCGTCCCACCTCTGCCTCTCAAAGTGCTGGGATTACAGGTGTGAGCCATGGCGCCTGGCCCTGGTCAGCTATTTATAGCTAATGATGGGTGAGTGCTTACTGTCCCTGGCATTGTTAAGAGGTTTACATGCATTAGTTCGGCGAATCCTCACATCAGATCAACGAGGTAGCCCCATTTTACAGATAAGGAAATTAAGGCCAGAGCTCCAAAAGACTTTCTCATCCTTGTACCTGCAGCTGGAGCTGGATCCGAGTGATGACACACCCCACATACTTTTTGAAGCCTCTGGAAAACAAGGCTCCTGTCTGCTCACCTGTGTTTCTCTCACAGCTTATCCGTTCAGCTAAATTTCATTGAGAGCCAGGTGCCGTGGTTCGCACCTGTAATCCTAGCACTTTGGGAGGCCAAGCGAGAGGATTGCCTGAGCCCATGGGTTCGAGACCAGTCAGGGCAACATGGTGAGACCTCTCTACAATAAATCAAAAAATTAGCCAGGTGTGGTGGCACACACTTGTAGTTTCAGCTATTTGGAAGGCTGAGGCAGAAGGATTGCCTGAGCCCAGCAGGACGAGGCAGCGGCGGCCATGAGTGCCACCGCAGAGTAAGACTCCAACTCAAAAAAAAATTTTTGTTGTTGTTATCTGTTATGTGCCGGGTCTATTCTCAGTGCAGTGTTTGGTATGTAATAGCTTCCTGCAAATATGAAGAAGCTGGGCCAGGTGACCTTCAACTCTGAGAGCTAATAAGGCCACATTTCTGTGTCTGGGTGACTGCAGGGAATAACCTCTTTTTTTTTTTTTTGAATCAAAGTCTCAGGCTGGAGTGCAGTGGCACACTCACAGCCACCGCAGCCTCCACCTGCTGGATTCAGGTGATCCTCCCGCTTCAGCCTTCCAGGTAGCTGGAACCACAGGCGCACGCCACCACGCCCAGCCAATTTTTTGATTATTTATTGCAGAGACGAGGTCTCGCCAAGTTGGCCAGGCTGACCTCAAACCCCCGGACTCAGACAATCCTCTCACCTCAGCCTCCCAAAGTGCTGGTATTACAGGCGGGAGCCACCGTGCCCGGCAAGACCAAGACCTAGACCTCTTTTAATCTGCATTCCAGGACACCGCCCTTCCGGTTCCAGCCAGCTGTAGGCCGTGCAGGGAGCACACATCTTCAAGGGCTTTGAGGCTGTGGGGAGGGAGAGAGCCGCTACAAGAGCCAGACCTGGGCCTGAGCTTCGGAGCCGCCTTGCTGTCTGCCCGGGGCCTGTCCCAGGCTGAAGCCAGGCCTTTGCTGTCACTGATCAGAGCAGCACCTGCGGGGTGCGGGGTGGGGGGGGTGCCCTGCCGGAGCCCTAATTGATTTGAGCTGGCGCTCCCCAGGAAGTGTGAGAATTCCAGCTGGCATTTGCCTGGCACTTGAGAAGGGCGCAAGGTTCCTGCTCGCCAACACACAGACAGAAGACGGGGCCTGTCTCTGCCAAGCACTGGGGCCGGGAACCGGGAGCCAGGCATAGACAGTGCTGTGTTTCCTGCGTGTTTCCTCTCCTTCTGCCAGGCTTGCTAGGGGAGTGCGGGGGCCCTGCCTTTTCTGGTGTTCCCGGGGCTCTGCTGGGAAGTGTGTGCTTTCTTGGGGCTTCGTCCTGACCTTGTGTCTGCTCTACTGAACTTGGTTGGATTGCTCCGGGCAAAGGATGGGACTCGATGTCCACAGAGGCCTCGTGGAATCTTTTTTTCTTTTTTTGAGTTGGGGGTCTCACCCTGTTGCCCAGCCTGGAGTACAATGGTGCGATCACGGCTCACTGCAGCTTCTACCTCCAGGGCTCAAGCCATCCTCACTCCCTAGCCTCTCAAGTAGCTGGGACTACAGGCATGCACCACCGTGCCTGGCTAATTTTCGAATTTCTTTTTTTTTTTTTGGTAGAGACGAGATTTCACTATGTTGCCTGGCTGGTCTTGAACCCCTGGGCTCAAGCAATCCTCCTGCCTTGGCCTCCCAAAGTGCTGGGATTATAGGCATGAGCCACGGTGCTGGGCCAGAACATTTTAAATCTCTATGTTTACAGTGTGTCCATGTAAGCAACAACTATCTGTACCTCCTAAAGTTATTGAAAGAAAAAGAAAAAAGCAAGTCTAGTGCAATGACTCATGCCTGTAATTCGAGTCCTTTGGGAGGCAGAGGCGAGAGGATTGCCTGAGTCCAGGGGTTTGAGACCAACCTGGGCAACTTGGTGAGACCTTGTCTCTACAATAAATCAAAAAATCAGCCAGGCGTGGTGGCACACGCCTGTAGTTCCAGCTACTTGGAAGGCGGAGTCGGAAGGATCACCAAAGCCCAGCAGGTTGAGGCTGCGGTGGCCGTGAGCGTGCCACTGCACTCCAGCCTGGGTGACAGAGTGAGACTCTGACTCAAAAAAAAAAAAAAGGAAAAGAAAAAATATATGTATATGTTAAGTAATTCTAATGAAAGATTTGTTCAGGGAGAATATTGGAATCATTGATTAGAGTTTACCTTCTTTTTTGTTTTATTTTGCTTTTTTTTTTTTTTTGAGACAGGGTCTCACTCTGCTGCCCAGGCTGGAGTGCAGTGACACAAACCCGGCTCACTGCAGGCTTGATGTCTTGGCCCAAGTGCCACCACACCTGGCTAATTTGTTTCTATTTATTGTAGCGATGAAATCTCGCTATGTTGTCTAGGCTGGTCTTGAACTCTTGGACTCAGCAATCCTCTCGCCTCGACCTCCCAAAGTGCTGGGATTACAGGCTTTACAGGCCTGAGCCACCCCACTTGGGCTTCATCTTTCCATTTTAGTATCAACATCACTGGCGTCTACGTTACCTCATTATCACTGATAAGTGAGTTGATTTTTAAAATAGCAGCAACAGCAAACAGCGGCCAAAATGAACACTTACGATGTGCTTACCATTTGCCAGGCATTTCCGCTGAGAACCTGACACAGTCTGATCCTTACACCAACCCTGGAAGTTAGGTGTTAGCCTCCTTTTACAGAGGGAGAAACAGAAGCTTAGGAAACTTAAGACACTTGCTCAGAATCGCAAAACTGGCATGCTTGGGATTTATCCCAAGTAGGCTTTTGACATCCGCTGTCTTATCCCCACGATAGAGCTTTTCCAAGGGATGTGAATTATTTGAGGGCTTTAAGGGCTGCTGCTTCTTATTCCAGAAGGTGGGTTAGGAAACATCCCTGTCGATGTGTTAGGCATTTTACATACATTGTTTTCCTTGCTATTATGCCCATTTTTCTGATGAGGAAAGGGAGGTTCAGAGTGGTTATGTGACTTGACTCACGTCACACAGCCAGTCATTAGTCAAGTCAGGAATGGAGCCCAGATCAGTCTGACCGTGCTTTTTCCATTACACACCACTGCCCTCCTAAAAATAGTAGACAGGCGTTACTAATCCTGGATGTTGGATTCAAGGCGGAAAACGTCTTTCCTGAATCTTCTTGAGGTCTCTTTCTTCCTCTTTCCCATGCAAGACCCTTTGACCGGTACTCCGCCCAGCGTCTTCACACTTGTTTTTTTCTTGGTCGGTCTTCTGCCCAGCCAAAGGCACATGGGACATTTGTTCCAGAAACCAGGCCTCCTGGACCGGGCAGGGAGCGGGTGGCCTGTCGTGGGGAACAGAACAGAACAGAACAGCGCGCTCTCTGGTTCCTTCAGCCCTCCTCCCACCCGGCTGCTGGCGGCAGCTGCGAGGAGAGTGAGCGCTTGCCAAGCTCCCAGCAAGGGGCCTTTGGTAAAACCCTCAACCTCCCCCTGCATCTCCCGGGGCTTTCAGTCTCCAGCCCAGTCTCCAGCTGACCTCACTGCCCCTCCTGCCCCCACGAGCGAGGTGGATGGCCAGGTCACGATGCGTCTTTCTTCCCAAGCCCAAGTTCACAGAGCGGCATCATGGTGGGCTCACGCCCCTGCCTGCTGGGGGCAACCACAGAGTGTCTCTGAGGGCACTCGGCGCTTCCCTGGTGACCTGCAGCCCGATCTGTACCCTGGGAAGCCAACGTCTGTCCTGCAGGCTCTCGGGCCACGTCTAGGATGACCTGTTTGGCAGCCAGCCCTGTGGGTCCCAAGAGGAAGCATCTCCCCTGCCGTCGCACGGCTGACAGGGGGGTAAATCCTTCTTTACAAGCTCAGGGCCTTTAGCCTGCAAGGCCCGTGCTTTTTTTGTTTTTTGTGAAGGTCTCACTCTGTTGCCCAGGCTGGAGTGCAGTGGCACGATCACAGCTCATTACAGACTTCACCCGGGCTCACGTGATCCTCCCATCTCAGCCCCTGGAGTAGCCAGGACTACGGGAATGCACTACCGTGCTCTGCTAAGTTTTTTATTTTTTGTAGAGCTAAGGTCCACTGTGTGGTCCAGGCTGGTCTCAAACTCCTGGCCTCAAGCGATCCTCTCACCTCAGCCTCCCAGAGTGCTGGAATTACAGGTGTGAGCCACCGCGCCGGGCAGATCCCACTCTTGAAGCTGTCGATAGCCCCCCTAGTGAGGCAGAAATGAGCTAGAACAGTGTGACCCAAGTTCATGTCCAAGTCACTGAGTTTTCCTGAGGTGACCACCCTCACAGGTTCTGCGACGCAGAGTTTTAGAAGATAAAAGGGTTGGAAACATCTTGTAGGAGCAAACAGACGGGTCGAGGCCTCTCCTTGAACGTGGTGTGGGGTCACGCTGAAATCTGCAGGCACCACCTCGGCCTGTCCTCCGGGTTGGCCTTTCATTCCCACCCTTTCCTTTTCTAGCCTCTGATATCAATCCCTACGCCTTCTTTCCTCTCCCCGTTATGATTTTTCCTCACGTTTAAAAGAGTCTCCCTAGCCGGTCACGGCGCTACCTGCCTGTAGCCCAGCCACTCGGGAGGCTGAGACATAAGGATCGCCTGAACCCAGGAGATCGAGGCTGCGGTGAGCTGTGAGCGTGCCCCTGCGCTCCAGCCTGGGCGACAGAGTGAGACCCCAACTCGAAAAAAAAAAGTTTCCCTGGTGCGTCTGACTTGCCGTGCTGTGTCCTTGCTGGTTCCGGCCCCTCCAAGTCCTCCCCTGTGCTCCTCACTGCTGACCCCTCTCCTTGGCAGTACTCGTGCCTCCTCGAGTGCCTTGGGATTTGCCAGCGAGCGCAAGGGTCAAGGAACAGGAGGCTGGAGACACCCTCCCCGTCCCTCCGCCCTCGATCCCCGCCCTGCTGCAGACCTGAAAATTTAACAAGAGGACGCGTGCCCTGAGCACATCCCCAAGGCCAGCTCTCGGGGGCGGGAGGGCAGTGGCCCCATGCCTGGCGGTCACGGGGATGGACAGGATCCGACTTCTGGGTGCTTCTTCAGGCCCAGAGATGCAGTGTCTGGATGGGGGAGGCTGGCTGAGGCATCGGCGCAATTAATTCTGAGGTAGCCAGCCTGCCAGGGGGGACCCTTGGACTCCCGCGATCCTGAGACAAGGGGGTCTTTGAGCAGGGAGGAGAGTGAAAAGGGACAGCACGGGGTAGGGGGCTTGGGGGCGGTGGCGATGGCCAGGGAGGCGGGCGATGGCCAGAGCCCAAGAAGGGATGGAGGGGCTGGAGGCCAGAGATTCGTGGAGGGAATTGGTGGAAGGGTGTCGGAGTCGATGGAAGGCCGCGGCCTGCTGGGAGCTGCTGCAACAAGGCTGGGCCGAGACGCCCACGGGGCCGTCCAGTGGCCTTTCTGTTAGGAGCAGACGTGAGGGACCCCTGCTCCAGATGTCTGCGGGGTCCGGAGCGCCACGCTCCCTCGCGGTGCTCACCTCGCTGAAGCAGGCGGGGCCTGGGGTGGGGGTGTAGCCTCCCCACTCCCCCCCAACCTCCCACAGATCCCCAGGGCTGCTCAGCCCCGTTGCCTTGATGTCCTCTCTCTTGGGGATGTTATTCTAGCTGTGAAATCTCCATCATAACAGGCACAGGCCAGCTGAGATAACAACAGTAACCCCTGCACCCCAGTATTTAGGCAGAGAGCTATTTCCCCCCAAGGAGTACAAAGCCCTTTCCAGATGCGTTTCTGCTCACCCTCTTGACTCGGTGTGAGCTGAGGGGAACTCTCCCTGGTGATTCCAAGGAGGTTCTGAGCGGCGAGGGACAAATACAGGTCCGTGGTGGCTCGGATGTTCAGGACCCGTATTCCTGGAGATCCCGTGCCTGGATTCCTCCCACACTGGTCACACCATCATGGATTGGAGAAAGCGGGGTGGAACCCAAGATCACAGTCAAGACACCAGGCCTCCCTTTGTTCTAGGACGTGGTCTCACCTTCCCGCATGCCTCCACTGTATGCCCGTAGTCTTTTTCTTTTCTTTCCTTTTGTGTCGAAGCCTCACTCTGTCACCCAAGCTGGGGTGCAGTGATATGCTCACGGCCACCTCAACCTGCTGGGCTCAGGGGGTCCTTCCGCCTCAGCCTTCCAAGTAGCTGGAACTCCAGGTGTGCGCCACCCTTCCGGGTTATTTTTATTTTTATTTTTTTGAGTTGGAGTCTCACCCTGTCGCCCAGACTGGAGTGCAGTGGCCGCTCCCGGCCACCGCAGGCTCGACCCGCTGGGCTCCGGTGATCCTTCCGCCTCAGCCTTCCAAGTAGCTGGAACTACAGGCGCGCGCTACCATGCCCGGCTGGTTTTTGATTTATTGTGGAGATGAGGTCTCGCAAGTTGCCCAGGCGGGTCTCGAACCCGCGGGCTCAGGCAATCCACTCACCTCAGCCTCCCCAAGCGAGGGATTACAGGCTGAGCCACCGAGCCCGGCCAGTTAATTTTTTTAAAACATGATTTGATGTAGAAAGGAGGTCTTGCCAAGTTGCCCAGGCCGGTCTTGAACCCCTAGGCTCAGACAATCCTCTCTCCTTGGCCTCCCAAAGTGCTGGAATTACAGACCGGAGCCACTGCGCCCGGACAGTCTTGTTCTTTGAGTGGCTATGCCCGTTCCATCCTGCTCGTGCCCAAGAAGCTTCTTCTAGGAGCCCAGGGGTGGAGCCCCCCAGGTTGAACAGGAGTGGCAGGGGGTGTCTACGTGGGCTAAGGTTTCTCATCCCTCGCCGGTGCCTGGCTCAGCCACACGCCCGTGTCCTCCCAGGGAGGCCCGAGTGGCCCGGAGCTCATGGCGTTCAGCTTCCTTGCCTTTTCCCTCGTAGGTGTGGATGGACGCGGGCACCCAGATCTTCTTCTCCTTCGCCATCTGTCTAGGGTGTCTGATGGCCCTGGGCAGCTACAACCAGTACCACAACAATTGCTACAGGTGATCGGGGGTCTGAGCCACACACCTGCAACTCTCCACTGTCCCTCCAGCCACGCTAGGCCCGGGGGGGAGTTGGAGGGTGCACCACCTCCCGGATCTGCCCCCCTACCTGCCCCCCCACTTTCCAACACCCCAGGACTACCAGGAGCTGGAAGGAGCCAACTGCAGGACGGGCAGAGGGTCTGCCCCCAAAAGGGTGGGTCCACGGAGATGGGCTGGAGGACCACAGCAGGGCCGCACATCCCAGCGAGTGGCGAGATTAGAGGGGTCAGGAGCGCTCAGCAGGAAAGCGTGAGAGGCGCGGCACATCCTTAGATAAGGTCATTTTGTTCAATGTCATTGACGAGGGGGGACCCCAAACATCCGGAATTTATTTCTAGAAAATTGTGTATTTGTTCTCACACATTTAAACTTCAGTCACCTCCCAAGTACTCTCTATGCGATGCAATCTACCCACGGAGCTGCTTTCTCCACTGCTCCAGGCAGTTTTTGAACTCATCCATTTGGATGGCCTTCAGTGCTTCTGCCATTTTTTATTTCCCTTCTTCCCTTTTGGCAAAATGTTTCCCGTTGAGGACTTTTTTCATCTGGGGAAACAAACAAAACCAAAAAAAGTCTCTTGGGCGAGATTGTGTGAATCGGGAGGGTGGGTCACGGGGGTCAGGCCATTTATGGTCAAAAACTTCTGAGCACTCAGTTCAGTGTGGGCAGGTGCTTGGTCATGGTGGAAGAACCAATCACCTGTTTGCCACAGCTCAGGACATTCCTTCCACATTGATGCCGATGGGTTCCTAGAATACTTACCTAGCCGGGGATGCTGGCACCAAAAGGGACCTGCCCTCCAAAAGAAAACTTCATTTATGGCCGGGCTCGGTGGCTCAGCCTGAAATTCTAGCACTTTGAGGGGCCGAGGCGAGTGGATTGCCTGAGCCTGTGAATTCGAGACCCGCCTGGGCAACTTGGTGAGACCTCGTCTCTGCAATAAATGAAAAAAATGAGCCGGGCATGGTAGCGCGCGCCTGCAGGTCCAGCTACTCGGAAGGCTGAGGCGGAAGGATCGCCGGAGCCCAGCAGGTCCATGCTGGGGTGGCCATGAGCCTGCATGCCACTGTACTCCAGCCTGGGCAATGAAGTGTGACTCCAACTCAAAAAAAAAAACAAAAAACAATAACAACAAAAAAGAAAATTTCATTTTGGCGGGATACCCCCTCCTAATTATAATGTTGACGAGGAAAAAATGATTGGTTTTGGTATAAATTATTTGGCTTAAAGTCACAGTTTCTGGCTGGGCATGGTAGCTCATACCTGCAATCCCAGCACTTTGGGAGGCCAAGGTGGAAGGATTGCTTGAGGCCAGGAGTCTGACACCAGCTTCAGCAACATAGCGAGACCTTGTCTCTCCAAGAAGTAAAAAAATTAGTTGGGTGTGGTGGTGCAGGACTATAATCCCAGCTACTGAGGAGGCTGAAGAGGGAGGATCTTCTGAGCCCAGCAGGTTGAGGTCGTGGTGAGCTGTGAGCATCATGCCACTGCACTTGGGTGACAGAATGAGACCCCAACTCAAAAACAGAAACCTGTCGGAGGGGTTAAGTGAGGACTTACTGCAAATAGCAGCGTCGTGCCCTGGAGTCTGCTTGGTCAATCTGCCCCGACAAACGCCAACCCATTTGCTCGTCACCACCTAGGTAACCTCCCAGGCAGCCCGCTCACTTCATGTCCTCTCTCCACTGTCCCCTCCTTGCCCACCTGGCTCATGCTCAGAAAATTTAAACCACTTTCCAGATGTGCTGGGCTAAGACTGGAAAGGTCACAGTGTGCATTTCAAACTCAAACCGAGGTGACCGAGTTCGTTGTGGTCTGGGCTTCCCCATGTCCCTCTCCCCCGCCTTTGCAGGCCCAATGGAGCACAGGCAGAGAGGTCATGTCCCGGGAGGTGACAGCAACACGGCAGGGAGGTCGCTTATCATGTTTTATGTCCGGAGGGGTCATTCTTTTAGGGCTGCCTGGATTTATTCCTTGGCTGAGCTAGTGGGGGGCGGGGCAAGGTGGGGCAGAGCCAGTGCTTTGTGGGGTTATTTGTTTCTGGTTTGGGGTTTTGTTTTTTTCTTGAGTCAGACTCTCACTTCTTTGCCCAGGTTTTACCCACAACCTCGACCTCCTGGGCTCAGGTGGTCCTTCCACCTCAGCCTCCCAAGTAGCTGGCACTACAAGTGCATACCACCATGCACGGCTAATTTTTTGATTTGTGTGTGTGTGTGTGTGGAAGCGAGGTTTTGCTGTGTCACCTAGGCTGGTCTCAACCTCCTGGGCTCAGGCGATCCTCCCACCTGGGCCTCCTGAAGTGCTGGGATTACAGGCGTGAGCCACCACACCTGACCAGAACCAACACCTTGAATGGTCATCTGAATTCTGCCAGGACACCCTCGCAGCCCCCAGTCTCTGTGAAGGGGCTGGGACAGTGTCCGCTGGGAGGGGCTGTGCTCCCCTGGGCTTCCCGCTGGTACCCCAACAGGCAGCCTGAGACTTTGGCAGCCCCTTTCTGATCTGGCCTGTTTCCCCCTCCCCACAGGGACTGCATCGCCCTCTGCCTTCTCAACAGCGGCACCAGCTTTGTGGCCGGGTTTGCCATCTTCTCCATCCTGGGCTTCATGTCTCAGGAGCAGGGAGTGCCCATTTCCGAAGTGGCCGAGTCAGGTGAGTGGTGCCGGGCGGGACCTGAGGGCCGTGAGCCTGGCTTGACCTCCCGCAACTGGGATCCGAAGGCGTTTGGGCTTGTCGCCTGCACTCTGGGTGAGCTACGGTCACCTTTCAGTGGGTGCGTTCTGGAAAGACTTGGGGAAGATTGAGACAGTGATTCCAGCTTCAAAGAGTAGATGGGGACACAGTGAGCATTTTTCTTCCTACCCCCGGTTTCCAGTTCATTACCCTGGAGGCAGACAGCGTAATCAGTTTCGTGTTTATTCTCTTGGAGATCGTTTAGACATGTATGAGAAAAAAAATGTTTATGTACACGTACATATTTCTATTTCTAGTCTCACCCCCCTTTAAAAAAACCAAATGACAACTTACTACATACACTGTTCTGCACTCTGCCTTGTTGTGTTCACCTTAAAATGTATCTCAGGCAACCCCTTCGGGTCCCCTTCTACTGTGGGAGTGTTTATGTCCTTCCAATAAATAAATCCTGCTTTCACACACACACACACGCGCACACACACACACAAATGTATCTCAGACTAGGCACAGTGGCTCACACCTGTCATCCTAGCACTTTGGGAAGCCGAGGCTAGAGAATGGCTTGAGCCCAGGAGTTTGACACCAGCCTGGGCAACATAGAGAGATCTCATCTCTACAAAAATTCAAAAAATTAGCCGGGCGTGGTAGTGCACACCTATAGTCGCAGCTACTCGGGAGACTGAGGCAGAAGATGTGCCTGAGCCCAGGAGATCGAGGCTGCGGTGAGCCATGACCGTGCCATTGCACTCCAGCCTGGGTGGCAGAGTGATACCATGAATAAAAAGATAAATCGAGACGGGCTCGGTGGCTCAGCCTGTAATCCCACGTCTTGGGAGGCTGAAGTGAGTGGATTGCCTGAGCCCGCGGGTTCGAGACCCGCCTGGGCAACTTGGTGAGGCCTCATCTCTACAACAAATCAAAAATTAGCCGGGTGTGGTAGCGCACGCCTGTAGTTCCAGCTCCTTGGAAGGCTGAGGCGGAAGGATCGCCAGAGCCCAATAGGTCGAGGCTGCGGTGGCTGGGAGCGGCCACTGCACTCCAGTCTGGGTGACTGAGTGAGACTCCAACTAAAAAAAAAAGAAAGAAAGAAAGAAAGAAAGGTAAATGTGTGCTCTGCCTCCCAGCCAGTTGTGTATACTAGACTCTGTTACTTATGGTACCTCACCTTTAAGTACCAAACTTTGGATCATTTAAGGAAGTTTGGCTTTCATAACCAAGAACCTGATAAAGCAGGGTTTAAATAAGAAAGGCTTGGATAGGCCGGGCTTGGTGACTCAAGTCTGTAATCCCAGCACTTTGGGTGGCCGAGGAGAGAGGATTGCCTGAGTCCAGGAGTTTGAGACCAGCCTAGACAACTTGGTGAGACTTCTTCTTTACAGAAAATCTAAAAACTAGCCGGGTGTGGTGGTGCATGCCTGTAATTCCGGCTACTCGGAAGGCTGAGGCGGAAGGATCGCCGGAGCCCAGCAGGTTGAGGCTGTGGTGGCCGGGAGCGGCCACCGCACTCCAGGCTGGGCAACAGAGTGAGACTCCAACTCAAAAAAAAAAAAGATAAATCAAAGTGAAATAAAACAAAACAACCCCCCCCCAAAAACCCAATAAATAAATAAAAGGTATGTCAGAGGTAAGTTTCCATCAGTACATAGAGTTTCTCCCTTTCCTGACTGCCTTGCCACCATGCAGGGTTATTGTTGCTTTTAAGTGAGATCAGGACCCAGTCCCCCACGTAAATAACCTGTAAAACGTTTCTCTTGCTCTTCCCCTGATCTTGGGGACCACCCACTTTCCCTCTGCAACAAGACCCTGTGTTATCATGGCCTTCCCAAGCACACGCCTGTCACACAAGATGCCAAGCACTGGGCAGCAGACTTCGCTGCTTCCCATTAAGAAGGATAATGTTAGCCGGGCTCGGTGGCTCAGCCTGTCATCCCAGCGCTTTGGGAGGCTGAGGTGAGTGGACGGCCTGAGCCCGTGAGTTCGAGACCCGCCTGGGCAACTTGGTGAGACCTCGTCTCTACATTAGATCAAAAAATTAGCCGGGCGTGGTAGCGCGCGCCTGTAGTTCCGGCTACTTGGAAGGCTG